CATTTGCTACCGTTTTCTATCAACTTCCCACCCAGTTTACGCCTAGTGACGTCATAGGCCTTACCACCCAAAGCTGCGCAGAACTCCGGTGACGAAATCTGTACTTATATCGACCTTGGGGCTATCGACAACATCTTAATTATTGTTCTTATTAAGATTTACCTTCGCCAACGAGGTTATGTTTCTGGTCGCAGTGGTTATGGACCCCATACTTAACGAGGCGTCTGTTATGAATCCGAGCGGACGCCTCTCATCACCCTTTAGCCTTCCACTCTACGGATTTTTTTGTTTTGTTTGTTCGTTGGTTAGCAGGAGGACAACTCAAAAAGTTATGAATAGATTTTTTATTACCATTATCGTCATTAACACTATTATCACCATTGTCATTATCATGAGTGTTATCATCATCTCTATCATTATCATTATCTTCATCAACATCATCGTTATCATTATTAGTATTACTATTGCTGTTAGTTCTGTTGCTGTTATTATTATTATTATTGTTTTTATTATTATCATTATTATTATCATTATCATTGTTGTTGTTATTATCATTATCATTTTTATGATTATTATCATCATCATTATCATGATTATCATCATTATTATTATTATTGCTGTTATTATTATTATTATTATCATCATCATCATTATTGCTATTGCCATTATTATCATTATTGTTATTATTACTATTTTACTCAGAGGTTTCATTATTATTGCCATTGTTACTATTATAATTACTATTATTAAAATTGTTATTATCATTTATTATTTTCATTATTATTGTTGTTATTATTATCATTATGAGCATTATTATCATTGCCATTATCATTATTATTATTATTATTGTCGTTATTATCTTGAGGATTATCATCATCATTTCATTTTCATAATTATCATTAATAGTAGCAGTATCATTGTTACTATAATCATCACTATTGTTTTATTATCATTATTATATTATTCAAACTTTCATGTTATTGTAATCATCATTATTATCATTATCATTATCACTATCATTGTTAGTATTATATCATCATTATCATCACCATTATCATTGTTATTGATATTAATATTATTATCAACGTTATTATCATAATTATTATCATTTCTATTCTATGATGATGATGATGATGATGACGATGATGATTATAATGATAATGACGATGATGGTGATAAGGATGATGATGATAATGATGATGATGATGATGAATGATAATGACGATGATGGTGATGATGAAGATGATGATAACGATGATGATGATGATAATGTGATGATGATGATGATGAAGAGGATGATGATGATAATAAATAAGGTATATGAAACACAAATACATAATCAGCCTATTCCCATTCCCAGCCGCCCCCTGTTCCCTGTTGGAAGTGGAGTGTGACGGCCAGTGCAGGGCTGCGTGTGACAGTCATATCGAGTGCTCGGACGGGAGTGACGAGTCGCCGCTGTTGTGCAAAGAGAGAAATTGCCCGTAAGTTCGAAATGGTTTCTTTAAATGGTGAAGATATTGCGAAAGGAATGATGGGGAGGAATGCAAGGGAGGATGGGCGTGTTTTGCAGGGATGGTGGTAGTAGCTGTGGTGGTTGTAGCCGTAGTTATAGTAGCAGTTGTAGTGGTAGGAGTAAATGTTATGCAATTTAGAATTCGTCGTTGTTTCCGGCTTAACCTGTGGAAGTACCAACGAATAGTGAATGAATTAGCGTTAACGTCATCAGTATTCTTGTAGTTCCTGATAATGTTTATCTTTTGCACAAGTTAAGTTCTTGATCCTAAACGTCTGTCCATTTCCCATATCCGTTTGAAACCGTTTCCAGACAGCCAACAACAGCGGGCATTTTAGTCACCATCCGCACATTTCACAACGCCGCTACTTCATTTTATGTAGTCTATTTCATTTCTTTTCTTATTCTTTCGCTCTTTCCCATTATCATATGCGATTTCATGTGTCCGATTGCCTCGCTTCAATCACACGGCTACATTGAATGCTAAAATTTTACTGCGTCTTGATCTATTTTGATATAATTTTCTCTGACATGTGTTCGGAACGCTTACCTGCCCTTTCTAAATCAAGCTAAACACACAACTCCTGCTGCATAAATCTAGCAATGCCGTTGTCAGCCCCATCACAGCCCTCTCTTCGCAGGATCGCCGAATCGATAGCAGTGCTGAGTCCCTTCGGCATTGATAGGAGCGATCTGGGCGACGACAGCCGGCCCTTCCGCTGCGCCTACGGGGGCTGCATTTCGCCTCAGTTCTTGTGCAACGGCCACATGGACTGCTGGGACGGCTCTGACGAGACGGAGGAGCTCTGCCTGCCCCGCACGTGAGGATCGCTGGATTGTTATTCGTGTATACTATGTCAGGAAAGGGGCAGTGAGAGAGGGAGAGCGTGTTTGGTAGACAGCGCTACTGGTGTAATGTCTGTGTAAGCATTAAACTAGAATAAAGGTGTCTGTACAGTCATGAATGCAGACAGTATCTGAGAGGGCGTTCTCGCTGACCTGAAATATCGTTCTTCTCGATGCAGTTGCCCGAAGCGCACGTTCAGGTGCAAGTACGGCGGGTGCCTCAAGCGCCTCCAGACGTGCGACGGAAAGGCACAGTGCTTCGACGGCTCCGACGAAGACCCCGCCCTGTGCAAGAAGAAGCGCTGCTACTCGAGGCATTTCCAGTGCGCCTACGGGGCCTGCATCAGGAAGGTGAGGACAGAGTTCTGCCAGTCACGTAAATCAGTCAAAATCTAGAGGCGGGGACAGTAACCAAACAACCAGTCAAAAAACAATGAAAAAGATGAGTACTGCAGCCAGTCAATAGAGTAATCAAATCAATTAAATCCTTAAAAGCTGATGGCTTAAAAAATAATAAAGATGAGCGCAACAACTAAGGAATTTTAGGAGAGCAACCATTCAATCAAAATTTGTAAGTTAATGACAGCAGCCAAACACAGTGGTTAACAGCAGAGAAAGAAAATCATGCTGATACAGTTGTAAGCAATTTTTCATCAAACTCCTTGTCTACATAATGATACCCTTCATTATGATATCTGGAGTAACTGCACCAATATCCACTTTTGCATAGATAATTACGCTATTATTGCGGCGGGGCAACGTTAGGCCTACAGTCAGGGGCGTCATTTCAGCATTTTCTTGGGAGGCAAAGTTGGTGAGCAAAGTTAGCACAGTCAGTTTCTGACGCGCTGCGTGTGTATGTGTGTGTAAGTGAGGGAGAGACACACTAATGCATACTCATCGTCTTCGCAGGAAGAAAAGTGCGACGGGAATTCGGACTGCTTCGACAGCTCGGACGAGACCCCGGAGCTCTGCGGCCCAGACCACACGTTCACGAAAACCGAATCACGGATACGCGTCCCACCGGCCCTAGCGTCCTTTTTGAACCCACACCAACCAACAACAGCTATTACACAGCCACCCCCACCACCACCAACTACCACACAGCCACCCCCACACACCAACTACCACACAGCCACCCCCACCACCACCAACTACCACCACAGCCACCCCCACCAGCACCACCACACCACCACCACCCACCCCCACCACCAACCACCACACAGCCACCCCCACCAACACAACACCACACAGCCAACAACAACACCGACTACCACACCCCCACCACCACCAACGACCCCGCAATCACCCTCGCCGTCGCCAACCAGCACAGAGTCAGACTTCGAAGCTCCATTTCCTTCTACCAAAGGCTTTCCAGGCGAGGATGTCCACGACTGCGATGGTGTCCAGTCGTGTCCTTGTCCTCCGCCTCTGCAACATTTCTGCGTCCCCTGCAACGCTTGGAATGAAACCTGCGCTCGAATCGGTCAGTCCTTTAACCTCTCTCCTGTAGTTGAATTGCTAGGTTGAGTTCAATTGCAGATTAGGATTCTTTTATTGGCAGTTATCCCATTGAGAGTGAATTGCAAGTAATCCCAGAAATTAGAGAAATGTTGATAAATAGGTAACTAGATAAGATTAATGATGATGATGATTATAATGATAAAAGCTGATGATGATGATGATAATGATGATAATAATGAGCATGATGGCAACAGCGCATTCCTTTGCATTAGACGTCACAACAAATGAAGAAATTTTGCCATACTGGGATTTCGATTTCAGATTTTTTCCTTTTTTATTTTTTCTTTATCCCTCGTAACATTTCATATTTATAGTTCAAAATAACAGTAGGGTCTTTGAAAGCAGAAGGGCTGAGCTAAATGAAAAAAAAACGGTATCCAATGCTGAGATGAAAATAAGTCTACACTGCTTCGCAATTGTTTTAAAAGAGAGGCTAAGAAATATCAATAATCATATTTTATTCTGGAAAGAGCGTCGGGTTTTGGATATCAGCCAACTGTATTCGTTCTTCGGATACTGCAGTTTTATTTCATTATTATTCTTTTTATGTAGGCTTACTGTATTTGTGGCCAGTTCTGGAGTTTGGTTCAACATTAACCCCTCCAACGCACATATACATACGTAGATATATATGTATAGGCAGATGGGTGTTTGTGTAGTGTGTGCGTTTTTCTGACCAAAAGTTTCTAATTATCAACCATAATAATATCCCGCCATCTTTCTCAACAAAATGAAAATAATACCACACCTGTTCCAAACTCTAGAAGAGGAGGAAGTGTGCCTGATGCCCTCCCGAGGCACTCTGAGCGGCATCGAAGTGGAGGTGCTCTCCTGTGGCGCCAACCCCTTCCTGTGAGTACGATCGCCTCACGGGGTTTGTGACGCCCTTCGATCTGTGGTTCTCCATCGGGGGTCAAATTGTCCTCCTTGGGTAGAACATCAACATGCCTGGGAATATTTTTTTCTTGATTTTAGAAATTATATGAGAGAGAGAGAGAGAGGGGGGGGGGGGAGTAGGAGAGGAGTAAGAGATATACGTTTAATAACGAATTTGAACAACGTATATCGAACAGTAGGAGTTAAAAATCTAAATATGGGCTGAGAATCACTGGCTCAGACGTATATGTATACAGACGATGAGAAGTAAATATGCAATATGTATTCGTTTAGTTCGGAATGCATCTCAGAAGATTTTGTTGACTGAGCGTTAGTTGTTAAACTGTCTGGCTTTTCATTTTATACCTTTTCCTTTACAGAAGTCTGGCTGGGATGGTGCGCGCTGACAGGTATGCTTGTTGAACAGGAAGGCACAAATTGAGCACAAATTGATTCATTCAGAACTGAGAGACCGTATAAGGCCATTTGATCATATCGATCAAACGATGCATGCACTGCACACACACACACACACACACACACACACACACACACACACACACACACACACACACACACACACACACACACACACACACACACACACACACACACACACACACACACACACACACACATATATATATATATATAGTATATATATGTGGGTGTGTGTGTGTGTGTGTGTGTGTGTGTGTGTGTGTGTGATGGATATATAATAAGAGCACCTCCTCTGAGCAGGGAGTGCGGTACCAGCCAGGGCGTCCCAGTCCTGACGGTGGCGACCGCGGACTGCTGGGGTGCCGTGACCCTGATAGCAGAGTGCCATGCTGACGGTCTGTGGTATCCTTACGGGGAGCCCAAGAGTGCCAAACCTATGCGGCATCTGTGCCAACCTCACGCCCTAAATGCTGATGGTGATGTTCTTTTTCGTTATATCTATTTTCTTAATCTCTTTCTTTGTTTCTTTTGGAACTACAGTGCATTAGGCTTATTTATTAATATTAACTCTTTCACTAAAATTCTGTGGTGTCTGGTCTTTCCACCACCGAAGACTCCTTTTGGCAAGACTATGATTTTCTCATCAAAGTCTTTTTACATAAGAGTTTCTTTAATCTGGCAACAAAATCCAAATACCATCTTTCGGAAATTAGTGATCCATTCATCCTAATCCTGACCCTATTCTTTGCTAACGAGTCTCGCTTCCAATCAGAGTCGAGCTTCGCTCAGTGTGGCATCCTAATCCTGATCCTAATCCTCTTCTTCGCTAACGAGTCTCGCTTCCAATCAGTGTGGCATCCTAATCCTGATCCTAATCCTCTTCTTCGCTAACGAGTCTCGCTCCCAATCATTGTGTGGCATCCTAATCCTGCTAACGAGTCTCGCTCCCAATCATTGTGTGGCATCCTAATCCTGATCCTAATCCCTCTTCTTCGCTAACGAGTCTCGCTCCCAATCATTCATCCTAATCCTGATCTAATCCTTTCTTCGCTAACGAGTCTCTCCCAATCCATCCTAATCCTGATCCTAATCCTCTTCTTCGCTAACGAGTCTCGCTTCCATCATGTGGCATCCTAATCCTGATCCTAATCCTCTTCTTCGCTAACGAGTCTCGCTCCCAATCATTGTGTGGCATCCTAATCCTCTTCTTCGCTAACGAGTCTCGCTCCCAATCATTGTGTGGCATCCTAATCCTGATCCTAATCCTCTTCTTCGCTAACGAGTCTCGCTCCCAATCATTGTGTGGCATCCTAATCCTGATCCTAATCCTCTTCTTCGCTAACGAGTCTCGCTCCAATCATTGTTGTGCATCCTAATCCTGATCCTAATCCTCTTCTTCGCTAACGAGTCTCGCTCCCAATCATTGTGGCATCCTAATCCTGATCCTAATCCTCTTTTCGCTATCGAGTCTCGCTTCCAATCAGTGTGGCATCCTAATCCTGATCCTAATCCTCTTCTTCGCTAACGAGTCTCGCTCCAATCAATCCTAATCCTGATCCTAATCCTCTTTCTTCGCTAACGAGTCTCGCTCCCAATCATTGTGTGGCATCCTAATCCTGATCCTAATCCTCTTCTTCTAACGAGTCTCGCTCCCAATCATTGTGTGGCATCTAATCCTGATCCTAATCCTCTTCGCTATCGAGTCTCGCTTCCAATCCATCCTAATCCTGATCCTAATCCTCTTCTTCGCTAACGAGTCTCGCTCCCAATCATTGTGTGGCATCCTAATCCTGATCCTAATCCTATTCTTCGCTAACGAGTCTCGCTCCCAATCATTGTGTGGCATCCTAATCCTGATCCTAATCCTCTTCTTCGCTAACGAGTCTCGCTCCCAATCATTGTGTGGCATCCTAATCCTGATCCTAATCCTCTTCTTCGCTAACGAGTCTAGCTCCCAATCATTGTGTGGCATCCTAATCCTCTCCTTCGCTAACGAGTCTCGCTCCCAATCATTGTGTGGCATCCTAATCCTGATCCTAATCCTATTCTTCGCTATCGAGTCTCGCTTCCAATCAGTGTGGCATCCTAATCCTGATCCTAATCCTCTTCTTCGCTAACGAGTCTCGCTTCCAATCAGTGTGGCATCCTAATCCTGATCCTAATCCTCTTCTTCGCTAACGAGTCTCGCTCCCAATCATTGTGTGGCATCCCTGATCCTAATCCTCTTCTTCGCTAACGAGTCTCGCTCCCAATCGTGTGGCATCCTAATCCTGATCCTAATCCTTCTTCGCTATCGA